ATCTATCTATCATCAATGTATTATCTATCTATCTATCTATCTATCTATCTATCTATCTATCTATCTATCTATCATCAATTGTTTTATCTATCTATCTGTCTATCTATCTATCTATCATCAATGTATTATCTATCTATCTATCTATCTATCTATCTATCTATCTATCTATCATCAATGTATTATCTATCTATCTATCTATCTATCTATCTATCTATCTATCTATCTATCTATGTATTATCTATCTATCTATCTATCTATCTATCTATCTATCTATCATCATGTATTATCTATCTATCTATCTATCTATCTATCTATCTATCTATCTATCTATCCATGTATATCCATCTATTATCTATTGATCTATCTTTGTATTAATTATCTATCTATTTATCTATCTATCTATCTATCTATCTATCTATCTATCTATCTATCTATCTATTTATCTATCCATCCATCCATCTTTCAATTATTTATCTTTCTTTCTTCTTTCTTTTCTTTCTCTTTCTTTCTTTTCTTTCTTTCTTTTTCTCTTTCTTTCTTTCTTTTTCTTTCTTTCTTTCTTCTAGCGATCTACCTATCTTTCTATTATTTCTCTGGTATCTATCTATCTATCTATCTATCTATCTATCTATCTATCTATCTATCTATCTATCTATCTATCTATCTATCTATCATCAATGTATTATCTATCTATCTATCTATCTATCTATCTATCTATCTATCTATCTATCTATCATCAATGTATTATCTATCTATCTATCTATCTATCTATCAATCTATCTATCAATCATCTTCTATTATGTCTATCTATCTATCTATCTATCTATCTATCTATCTATCTATCTATCATCATATCTATCTATCTATCTATCTATCTCAAATCAATCTCATCTCAATCATTTTTATCTCTATTTATTGATCTATTTATTATCTATCTATCTATCTATCTATCTTTTTATCTATCTATCAATAACCTACTTATTATCTATTTGTCTTAATCCGCACATTTAATAAAGCATAATAGCAGCGTAATTTCGGAATATTAACCCTGTGACTGCTAAGCAGTGGGCAGACCCTTTACCTGAACAGGTAAATGACAGGTGACTATCCCTTTCTAAACAGATTTACTACAGGACAATGAGAGAGATACAGGCAGGAGAGGAACTCACAGCTTGGTACTCCAACTCCCTGGCTCAGTGCTTTGACATCTCCACTACAGCCACCCCGACACACGACGAGAAAGGTACGCCTGCCATCTATTCATCCATTCATCCATATCTATCTATCTATCTATCTATCTATCTATCTATCTATCACCATGTATTATCTATCTATCTATCTAATCTATCTATCTATCTATCTATCTATCTATCTATCTATCTATCTATGTATCTATCTATCTATCTATCTATCTATCTATCTATCTATCTATCTATCTATCTATCTATCTATCTATCTATCAATGTATATCTATCTATCTATCTATCTATCTATCTATCTATCTATCTATCTATCTATCTATCTATCATCTATCTATCTATCTATCTATCTATCTATCTATCTATCTATCTATCTATCTAATGTATATCTATCTATCTATCTATCTATCTATCTATCTATCTATCTATCTATCTATCTAATTATATATAAAATGAATGCATACCTTGTTTTGTCCATTTTCTATTTCCCATTGCCCAGTATATAAATATAGAGTGCAAGCACCTGAATAAACCACGCACAATGATTTCAATAATAAAACAAATGTACATACTCCCATTCTCCAAACCCTTTAGCTGTAAACCCATAGGGTTGGATGGAAAGGTGGGGCGGATATGAGGGATCTTTTCTTCGTTTGGTGGTACAGGTGTGTGGAAGACAAAGATCCCTCAGGTGCCTATAGACTGGTCAGTTTTGGTTTCTAGCCCAGGTATGAGTGTGTAGGACATCACCCAAGAAGACATGGGTCCTATGAATGGACACGTTCTTGGAAATCCAGGTCTCAGGCAGTTCAGGGGTTGGGTGGGGGACCATTTAGCAATTGCCATTCTTTGCGAAGGACAAGTGGTGGTAATCCAGCAGAAACGGAAGGATTTGTGAAAGTCTTTGTAACCTGATGGGATTTGCTGTGGAAATAAGAAAAAGTAGGACAAGTCATTGTCATGGGCAGGCGTGTAATCCTCTCCAGCACCAACTCGTTCCTAACAGGATTAGTTGAGTCTCCTCTGACTTGCGGTCTAGTTTTGATCGCTGCTCCTCCTGCACTTTTATCGGTGCGTGTGTGGTTTATTGTTTTCTGACAGTTTAACCAGCTCGTTTTCTGTATTCTAGAGTTATACATAGAAAGGCTTGATTTGAATCTAAATGAGGGCTTAAACACTGTACACAGATGCTCTAAACGTCCCTTGGATGGGGTTATAGCAGGGCTGCCATTGTGTGTTGAGTGAAGGATGGCTGTGCTCAGATTGTTCCGCTTTGTTAATAGGAGATCATGATCATTAGATGAACCTTTTGTTAGAATGTATCCTAAACTACCCGACATACGCTGTCTTTTTTTCCTGATGTCAACAGATGGGCCATATCCCAGTGCAATGGGCAGCCCTCTCCTCCCATCATCCTATTATGGTGTCAGTGTTGGGAGGGAGGGAGGGAGGGTTAAGAGAGGGTTAATATCACAGACATACATACATAGATAGGAGAGATTAGAGAATTAGAGACACCAGTCAGGTCAGATCACTGCTCTCAGGTTCACTGTCCATTTGTTATCACTGCCATGTTACTTGATGAATATACACTGTATGTGCAATATGCTGTTCATTTTCTATAGTGGTGGGAGGAAACTGGAGGTCTCACCCCTGGAGACCAATCATAGCAATCTTTCATCAGTTTCAGGGCTGGTTGCTATGGGCAACATCTCTAGGATTCTTCTCCTTTACTTAGATGTTGTGCGTAAGGCAGTATTAACCCAAAAAACAAAAGCACAATTTAAGGAAGTTTACCAATCCTTAAACGTGATGGGTGCATTTATGATCTTTGTTTTAGGCTTTCCCTCCCTTTTTTCACATGGACTTCCAGCTAGTAACACCTGCCTTAAGGTGGCTCCATTTTGTGGTGGAGCAACAGAGACAACTTTGGACAGTAGGGCGGAGAGAGTAGGGTTAGATCAGCATTTCTCAACCTTTTCAACATAGAGGGACTTTGAAATAATTTTTCTGTTTCAGGGAACCCCTGCTAAAAATGACTATATCTACAACTCATGATACATTAGTGTGATTGTCAGTGGGAAGAATGATCCTTACACTTGTGGTTATTGGGAAAAATAACCCCCTTATAGATAGCTAGAAAGATCAGTGGTGTCAGTGGGAACTTATCTGAGACAGAAATTGTTCATTACTCAAGGAACCCCTAGCAACCTCTGGAGGGACCCTGGTTGAGAAACCCTGGGTTAGATGCACTAGCAAGTTTTAGATGGACTTGAATTACAAATTAAAGTGGAACTCCAGCTAACACTTTTTAAGCAGTTGCAGCAAACGGTTCTTTTCCTTTTGGAATAAGTGTTTGCAATAAATGAATAAAAGCTGAACATTGTAAGGGTTTGTCTCAACCCTTTAATGGCCACTTTTGTTGGACAGACTAGTCTATTGAAAAACAATAAACTTACTGGCATGTTCAAAAAGTGAAAATAAAAGCAAACAAAACCGAAAAATTTAAACTAGTGCAGCCACCACATCTAATAAATGTTTTGAGTTTAATACCTCTGTAAGATTATGCATAAGAACATTATGTTGCATAAAATGACAATATCAGCCCTGGAAGTCCATTGATGTATGTTTTATTCTACAGGAGAAGAAAGATACATTTGCTGGTATTGCTGGAGGACATTTAAGTTTCCAAACACCTTAAAGGCTCACATCCATTTCCACTGTGCGCTGAATAATGGAAGAGGATTTCTTGGGAACGAGCATGTCAGAAGTTCAGACATTTTCAGTGTTTCTCCTAAGGCGGCAGATGGAGTCCCCAATCCCACCCCACCGCTGAGAGCGAGCCATCAGCAAAGCAATGGCAGAGACTCCATTAAGAGGGAATCCTCCTTATCCCCAGCTTTAAGCAAGCTTGGGGTCATCAAGAAGGCACTTGGCAAAGAAGAGCAGGATCGAGCCCTAGACATGAGTGTGGGCTCTGCCAGGAACCATGGACAGTTTCTAGGTGTGGTGACAAACCCATGTGGTGCCAACGGGGTTACGTTTTATCCAGGTTTAAGGTCGGCTTTCAAACCAGCTGGACTATCCAAATTAGCTCATGTTGACTCTACTAGAGAAGACACCAAATCTACCAGCATGGGCTTTAGTAAACTTTTAGGAGGGATCAAGCCAGGCCGATCAAGTGAAGGTGTAGTGAACAACCATCACTCCAAGTACCTCCACCCAGGTGATGGCTCCACCAGTGTTCTGTCTTGTAGCACTGGCCTAAGGGGCTTTCCTATCCTGTCCCACCTGGAGGAAACATCAGCCTTCAAACATGTTGAACGAGGCATTCACAGCACCCTGTCCCCCAACAGTCGCTACAACCAGATGGCCCAGCCAGGACTACACTTCTCAGAACGTTTCTCCATCCCACAGTTTGAAGGCATCAAGTCCTATTCGGCGGAATGTAACATCCCAGTCATGCCTTTCACAGTGTACAATGGGGAACTCCTCTACAGCACACCTTATTACCCTTTTAAATTCCATTTCAGCAACCTTATCAAGTACCCTGAGTCTGTGTCTTATTTCAATGCTGGGCCAGCAATGAACCCAGAACTTGGTTCTCTGACCACCAGCATAGATCGTGAGATAGCCATGCACAATCATCAGCTCTCTGAAATAGCAGCAGAGAAAAGTAGAGCTGGTAGACTGGAAAGCCTAGCTGGGACCACATCTTCTGGGACTGGCAAGCCCAAGAAGGGCCACCTATGTCTCTACTGTGGCAAACTGTACTCTCGAAAATATGGACTAAAGATCCATATGAGGACTCATACTGGCTACAAGCCCCTCAAATGCAAGGTGTGTCTCAGGCCCTTTGGGGACCCCAGTAACCTAAACAAACACATTCGCCTGCATGCTGAGGGCAACACACCTTACCGCTGTGAGCACTGTGGCAAAGTGCTGGTAAGAAGAAGGGACCTGGAAAGACACGTCAAATCAAGGCATCCTGGCCAAAGCTTGACCACCAAGGAAGACCTACACAGTGACCCTTCCTATCCCCAAGCAGACACCAAGAGTGAGGACAATGACAGTGACGTGGACGTTTGCTTCACTGATGAGCAGAGTGACCAAGAGACTGGGGCAGGCAAGGAGCACTGAGCCAACAAAGTACATAGCACAACTTTATATCATTATATCTAATTATATATATAAATATATGCATATGTATTATACCTATAAAGGATGTATCTATTTATGTGCTTCTACACATTGCAAAATAATCCTTTGGACTAAATAGCAAAATGACTGGTTATTGGGAAAGCAGGACTTGGTGATAACTGTGTTTGGTAGGGTGTGATGCAATAGAAGTATTTACTAAAGGTTGTCCATTCTATAAACAGGTAAGATTCCTATCAGAGTGATGCTGGATAATGTAATCAGTTACAATGTTACAGTGCTTTTATCGGAGTCTTATGAGGAGGATGGAGTGTTCACATTCCGGGACAAGGTTCTAGCAAAGGGAATTATTTACTAATACTGGAGAGTGCAAAATCTGGAGCAACTGCATAGAAACCAATCAGTTTCCAGTTTTTATTTCCAAAGCTTAAACAAACAAGTTGAAGTTAGAATCTGATTGGCTACTATGCACAGCTGCACCAGTTTTAGTAAATCTCCCCCGAAGATTCAGGTTCTACTGGCTGCCAGAACAGTACTGAGCAGGGTGCACTTTGTCCACTCATCCCCAGTCCTATTATATAGGGCAGTGTTCAAATACCCCCAACAGATCATGTTTTCAGGATTCCCTTTACCTCGCAGAGGTGCTTTAAATCAAAGTCAATGGCTTGGTGCTTAGGACAGCTATTCCCAAACCATGACCTGTTGGAGGACCAAGGCAGGGGGACCACTGACATCGGGCTTTCTGACACCAGTGGTTCTAGTCCAGGATGACTTTCCAAAGTCAGGAGGACTTCTATCAACAGTGTATGAGTTCCATTTTAATTAACGAAAGATGGCATTATCCACCGTCTGTTCTGACTAGCCCCTACCATAAAATGTAGATATAACCGACCTTTATCCAATCACTTACTTGTTATAACAAATGCTCTTTGATATTATAAAAGCTGTCTATATCTTCTTTTTTTTATAAAATGGTGTAAATTGAATGCAGTTATTTGGTTTTGGTTGAGTTTGTTATGCGACTTTTTTTTTTAATTAAATAAAGGTATAGACAAACTAATTTTAGTTTGTCCTTTGAAAACTAAACGTGTAGCTGCACCAGTTTCTCCATTTCTGAAGCTTTGTTTTGGTCGTTTAAGTTTTAAGAAAAATTTAAGTTTTAATAAATGGAAAGATAAATGTCACCTGGAAGGAGTCTGCATGGCGTTCAATAGAAGCGATCACCAACAGCAATATCAATATTTGACTTGCAGTTCATTCGGAAGATAAAATTAATAGTATCCTTTTGCATTTGATTGATCTTTTCTAACATACATGATTAAACAGATCTAGAACATCTTGGTTCGGCATTCAATTAGCGGCCGCTTATTAAATATCTCACAATTGGCAAGCATCCCAATGATATATAAACATAAGGATCGTGTTAAAATAACAAACAATTCGTTTAAAGTCTTCATGTTTTTAGTTGGTTTTAAAATCATTGAATTCGTTGTTACAAAGCTTCTGAAATTTGCATTCGCCTCCTTTTTAACCCTAAGTTTTCTAGCCTTGTCCATTTTAAGTGGCATTTATAGCCGATGATAAGGCTGTAGAACTATGCTACTTTACTGTTCTTATTCTTTATGTTCAGTTTTATTCATTTCTTTTGTTATAGCGACATTGTCGTTTTTATTGCCATCTGCAGTGCTTCTCGTATTTATTTATAGAATTGCCAAGTTTTATCAGAATAATTGTACAGCAGTACCTCATGCTTACTCAAATATTATCTGCAGGCTGATGGGGCAATTGTGATTCAAGGGCTGATTTGTACATATATCTGTCAATTCATTTAGATATATATTATGGCTCTCATTTTTTCCTAATGAACATAATTTCATAAAATGCCGTTTAAAGTTAGCCCATCAAGATCAGGATAATGCAAGACAGACTGAAAGCAAAGAAAACACTTTTCATAGAAGGGAGTGAACTACAGCAGGTGTATCTGCACTCTTCTCTAGTCCTGATTTTCTGAGTTTTCCTATACCAGTGACCTGTGAGACACACAGCTACATGACATCATATTGATCTACTAAAGTAGAGGTTGTTCAATGAGACAAGTGAATGTTCACTTGCACAGTGATTGTTAGTGAATAATGTGCAGCTTTACTTTGAATACCCAGTTGTGGAAACAGATTTTTGTTCTAGCACATAGAAAATCTGTCTTTTTTTTCTATCTATCTATCATCTATCTATCTATCTATCTATCTATCTATCTATCTATCTATCTATCAATCATCAATGTATTATCTATCTATATATCTATCTATCTATCTATCTATCTATCTATCTATCTATCTATGTATTATCTATCTATCATCTATCTATCTATCTATCTATCTATCTATCTATCTATCTATCTATCTAATGTATATCTATCTATCTATCTATCTATCTATCATCTATCTATCTATCTATCTATCTCTATCTATCATCTATATATCTATCTATCTCTATCTATCTATCTATCTATCTATCTATCTATCTATCTATCTATCTATCTATCTATCTTTAAGGCTATAGCAGAAATCTGTTGGTAAACCTTATAGTGATACTAAACAATATCCTTACCCTCCAATTACATTAAATTATACATTAAAGTACCCATTCAGTTTAAAATACAAATAATATATATATAATAAAAAAAAATAATAATAAAAGAAAAAATAAATAAATAAATAAATAAATAAATATATATATATATATATATATATATATATATATATATATATATATATATAGAGAGAGAGAGAGAGAGAGAGAGAGAGAGAGAGAGAGAGATGTAGATATATAGCTATCTATAGATATATAAAATTAAAATACCTTGTTTTGTGATCACATAATAACTGTTCTGAGCTGCATAAGAGGCTTGGAAGAGTGGGAGTTGAGAAACAGCAGGATACTGATCTTCCTAGTGAATGGCTGTGAAGTGGGGTGTGTCTCAGCACAAGTCTTGGCAATAGGAGGACAGGCAGGCTATTCTTCCAGCACAGCCAGAAAACTGACAGATATGCTGGATATGCTCTCATGCTTAGTGTGGTGGGTTGGAAATAGGAAAGCAGGGGGACTGGCAGGATCACCAGTTATTCACACAAAGGAAGCAATACAAAGAGAACAGGATGCTTTTTATCACATGTACGAGGTAACACAGACACATATAAGGAATATGAAATGTTGGACTAACATATTCTTTTAGGGCCCATTCACAACAGAAACTGCATTTTTTGCATGTGCAGCGCTTTGCATTTGATGCATGATTTTCTGTGCATTTGCTGTGCATTTTTCCGAAGCTTGCATTTCACTTCCATCTTCTATCTTCTTTAGGTTTTTATGTACACTGCACTGCACTGTGGTGCATGTTCATGTAGTTACATGCATTTGCACGCATGTCTATGCATTTGCAGTGTAGAAAAATGCAGCTTGCACTGCACTGCAATAGTATGAACTCTGCCCATAGGATAACGTGGAGTTTGGACTGTCTATGCAGCTGGAGTTCAGTCAATAATGCATCCCACTGCAACTGGTGTGAATGAGCCCTAGTACTCCTGTAATCTATTTCTCATTATACATTTTTCAGGATGCACTTATACTGACTGAACATTGTCTGACTTAAATTCTCCTACCTTCCCACCCCCTCCACTGGTCTGAACCCGTACTGACTATAAAGGAAATGTTCCTGGGAACACCTAAAAGTGTTCCCTGCTAACCAAACCAGTGATCCCTGGTGCACTTAGAATCTGGTGCAGCTATGCATGGTAGCCAGCAGGGGCGGACTGACAACCCATGGGGCCCCCGAGCAATAGGGGATCATGGGGCCCCTGTGTCCTTGCCCACACTCACACCACACCCAAAAAAGCCTATGAAAGGTACCAGGGGCATCTCATGGGGCCCCCTACTGACCTTGAGCCCTCGGACAGTGCCCGAGTTCTTGAATAGTCAGTCCACCACTGGTAGCCAGTAAGCTTGTAACTTCATCTTGTTTAAGTAAAATGTGGCAATAAAGCCTGGAAGCTGATTGGTTTCTATACAGAGTTGCACCAGAGTTTGCACTCTCCAGTCTTAGTAAATAGCCCCACAAGCCCTCTATGGAAAGAACTGTACTCTGGCACGGTTTGCACTCATACTGAAGCAACCCATAGTGGACCACAATCAGACCACGCCCAAGACCACCTCTTCCAATTATTCTTGGAGGTGGTACACTTAACTAGTCCTAAGTGTTGTTCAGAGCTCTCACGCTTCACAAATGATCCGGCTGTAGAGGTTGAACTGTGCCCGAGACTGTTAAAGTGCTAGTGTGAGTGAACCCTTGCTGTAACATCTACTTTGAGCTCCTGAACCTCTCCTTTTCCTCTTGCTTCAATATTTTTGGAACAAGCAGTCAACTAGTTGCAGTCATGTACAGTCCTCTATGCACACTACAAATCCCATAGCCCATAGTCCATTGTCCCTAGTCCATTTCAGGAAAGATGATTGGCTATGTTCCTACATACAGTCAGACCATGAAGAATGAACGTAACCCTCTTAACAGGGAGTCAAATCTCAACAAAAATGGAGATTTGAAGCAAGCTGGTAGCAATAGAAGGGACTTTTCTGAGTTAAAAATACATATTTGCATATATATTTTTTTAAATCAGAGTTTAGTGCCACTTTAAGGCTGCTTTGAATTGTCTGTAAATATAAAAGTGAACACCCCAAAGTCAATTTTAGAGTAGTTATTCAGACATTGACAAACATGGTAGAAACATTATTATACCTGTTTAATTGTGGTTCAATTACTTCTTCTGTTGGTGAGAAATTCTCTTCAGTAAAGGTTGTAATTGCATCAGCTATGAAAAAAACTGGAGTGATTTTACACCTATACCAAAGAATCTTTGTTTCAAAGATCCAGTAACATGGAAATGAAATTTACATGCATTATTCTATCCCATAGCTCATTTATCAGTTTC